GGCTCAGGGAGACCCTGGACTAGCTAATCAGTGAGTTCTGGGCTCAGGGAGACCCTGGACTAGCTAATCAGTGAGTTCCGGGCTCAGGGAGACCCTGCCTTGATGTACAAGGTGGAGAGCAATTGAGAAAGACACTGGATACTAACCCCTTGCCCCCACCTTCATGCAAATACATGCACATATACACATGCAAAAAATCAATAAATAAAGGAGAAGGAAATGCAGTTAGCCCTTGTAGGGTTGCATCTGTATTGAACATGTACAGACTTTAAGATCATCATTCCTTTAAACAATCTAGTACAACTACTTACAATGTGTTTAAATTACATTATATCTTAAGAAGTAATTTCAAGTTGGTTTAAAGTGTATATAGGGATCCATGGATTGTATGGAAATAGTATGCCTTTTGTGTTTTGTTCTGGAGGCAGGAGCTTGCTGTGTAGCCCAGACTGACCCTGAACTCATGACCCATCTATCTTATACTCACAGTGTGACCCATGTAAGACTTTATTGTCTTTTCTTTTCTTTCTTTCTTTCTTTCTTTCTTTTTTTTTTTTTGTTTGTTTTTTGTTTTTTTCGAGACAGGGTTTCTCTGTGTAGCTTTGTGCCTTTCCTGAATCTCGCTCTGTAGACCAGGCTGACCTCGAATTCACAAAGATCTACCTGCCTCTGCCTCCCAAGTGCTGGGATTAAAGGCGTGTGCCACCACCGCCCGGCTGTCTTTTATTTTCTTGGGGTCCTTTTGGTGAGGTGTTCCATGCTCCTCAGCTTCAAAAGACAGATAGTGAACAGTTGAAACATCAGAGACAGAGGATAGCATGACTGTCCATATTATTGCACTTCAAGTTAATGTGTGTGTGTGTGTGTGTGTGTGTGTGTGAGAGAGAGAGAGAGAGAGAGAGAGAGAGAGAGAGAGAGAAGGGGAGTACAAGAGTGCCATAACTTGAGAGTGGAGGTCAGAGGACAACTTTCAGGAGTCAGTTCTTCTACCGTGAGGATTCAGGGATTGGACGTCGGGCTTGGTGGCAGTTTCCTTTAGCTGCTGAGCCATCTCAGCAGCCCCTGTGACTTGTTCAGCTTGTTTTAGTTACTGTTATTGTTACCATGTCATTTCCGTTCTCACCATCGCTGTGGTAGTAGCACGCCAGCCAAGGCCACATTTGGAGGCCGGAGGACAACTTTAGGGAACTGGTTTCCTCTTCCTTCCTCATGTGGATGCTGAGGGCGGAAGTCAGGTCTCGGAACTTGCACAGCAAGTGCCTTTTTGTGCTCAGCCATCTCGTGGGGCCCTCAACAAGTGACTAATGGGAGTTGACAAGGAGGGTGACCCTGAGGTGTGTGTTTCTCAGCACTTTTCAGAGATTCCCAGTGTGATGTAATGGCAATCGCCTCCATGGGCAGGATTCCAGATTGACACACTTTATGTTGGCTGTGTCCCGGAACTGTCTCCCAGCCACCTCCAAAGTCATCTCTCTGTTTTGTTTTGTTGCTCTCTCTCTCGCTGTCTTCTTGTGAACGGTACTAGGCATTCAGCCGAGGTTCTCATGCCTGCTAGACAGGCAAGCTACCACTGGACTAACCAGCCCCTGTCCGGTTTTTGTTTGTTTGTTTTTTGGATTACCCCTGAGATCAATTATTTTCTCTTGGATCCTTATATAGGCTCTGCTTCTAGAGATACTCAGTGAAGTAACTGTGACTGTTCTTACTGACAGCTTGATACAACTGAGAATCACCTGGAAAGAGAGTCTGAATGAGGGATTCTCTGCATAGCGTTGGCCTGTGGGCATGTCTCTGGGAAACTGGCTGAATTCATGTATGGACAAAGACTCAGCCCACTGTTGGCAGCACCATTCCCCAGGTGAGGGGTCCTGAACTGTGCAAGAATGGAGAGACCAAGCCAAACTCAAGCAAGGAAACAGGTGAGTACGCATGCGTTCACCTCTCTCTGCTCCTGGCTGTCACTGGGACTTCCCTGCTGTGACTGACTCTAACCTGGAGCTGTGAGCTAGGTTAACCCCTTCCTCCCCTCAGTTTCTTCTTGTCAGAGCGTTTCATACCGCAGTAGACGGTAAACTAGGACGCTAACGTTTCTTCTTTCTCCTCCCACATGTGAAGTATCTTTGCCTTCTAAGTTCTTGCATATTGAGGAGACACCTCTCTGGCTGGGTAATAACTGAGCATTTCTGAGTCTCTCTCTCCTGTCTGCAAACCAGTGATGATCCCTCTGCCCCACCCGAGGCCTCACTGCCCTGCCTTGTCCCAGTAATCCTATCTCCTCTCAGGCTCCCGAGAAGCAGCAGGACAATGGGACCTGGCTGGTGACAGAGTTCGTGCTGGTGGGATTCTCCAACCTCCCAGAACTGAGGTCCACTCTCTTCACCTTGTTCCTCCTCACCTACCTGGTCACACTCAGTGGCAACGCCACCATCATCACCATCATCCAGGTGGACCGCACCCTCCACACTCCCATGTACCGCTTCCTGGCTGTGCTCTCCCTCTCTGAGACCTGCTACACCCTGGTCACCATCCCCAACATGCTGGCCCATCTGCTGATGGAGAGCCAGGCCATCTCCATCGCGGCCTGTCGGGCCCAGATGTTCTTCTTTTTGGTCTTGGGATGCAATAACTGTTTCCTGCTTACACTGATGGGCTATGACAGGTATGTGGCCATCTGCCATCCCTTGCGCTACTCTATGATCATGAGACCCGCCGTTTGCCTGTATATGGGAATTCTGATTTTCTGCTCTGGTTTCTCGGTGGCCTTGGTCGAAACCTGTATGATCTTCTCCTCGCCCTTCTGCGGCACAGGCCGCGTGGAACACTTCTTCTGTGACATCGCGCCTGTGCTGAAGCTCAGCTGTGCAGAGAGCACGCACAAAGCGCTTGGCATCTTCTTCCTGAGCATCCTGGTGGTGCTGTTCTCCTTCCTCCTCATCCTCCTCTCCTACGCCTTCATCGTGGCAGCCATCGTGAGGATCCCTTCAGCCGCGGGAAGGCGCAAAGCCTTCTCCACCTGCGCGGCCCACCTCACTGTGGTCATAGTGCATTTTGGCTGTGCCTCCATCATCTACCTGCGGCCAGACTCTGGGGCCAATCCCTCCCAGGACCGCCTGGTGGCGGTGTTCTACACGGTGGTGACGCCGTTGCTGAACCCTGTGGTCTACACCCTGAGGAACAAGGAGGTGAGGGTGGCCCTGAAGAAGAACCTGGCGCGGGGCTGCGGGCTCTGCTTGCGTTAATGAGTTCCTTTCCTAAAGTGGATATCCCCGCCTAGAAAACAAGAGCCTTTTCGGTGCTGTGTTTTGTTTTGTTTTGTTTTTGATGTGCATGTATGTGTCTGTGTGAGCGGGACACATGAGTATACGTGCCCACTGAGGCCAGAAAAGGACCAACAATCTTTTGAGTTGGTGTTAAATATAATTGAGAGTCTCCTGACGTGAGTACAAGGAGTGAGTCCTGGTCCTCTAGAAGAGAAGGAAGCCATTTCTCCAGCTCGTTTGCGATTTTGTTTTGTTTGAGACAGAGTTTCACTACATAACCCTGGTTAACCTGGAACTTACTATGTAGACTGCGCTGGCCTTGAACTCACAGAGGTCTGTCTGCCTCTGCCTCACTAACGCTGGCATTAAAGGCCAGTGCCTCCATGGGTTGTTATGGAGCACTCTTTTAATCCCAGAATGTGGGAGGAGGCAGAGGGAAGCTGATCTCTGAGTTCTAGTCCAGCTTGGTCTACAATGTGAGTTCTAGAACAGCCAGGACCACACAGAGAAACCCTGTGTGGAAAAAAAATAGAAAAATAAATAAGACGTGTCATCAACATAGAATCTTCATTGGCTTCTTAATGCCCCTATGCAACTGGTATTGACAGATGGAACCTTTCCTGTGGATAGATAGGGTCAAGGTGCTGTCCCTTGGAGACAAAGGGGCCGGTACATCAAAGGTAGTGTGGGTATCATAGAACAGTCTAACTTCTTTTTTAATTTTTAAGAGACTTATTCTCTTCTTATGTATGGTATATGTGAGTATGGGTGAGTAGGTGCATGCATTTGAAGACGTTGTTGACTCCTTAGAGCTGGAATAACCGGCAGTTGTGAGCTGCCTGATGTTGGTGTTGGTGAAAAGACCAGGCAGACACCATAACAGACTGCTCAGGTCTCCTCTCAGAGATCAGACCTCCATTTCAGTTTCCTGAGACTTGAGCAAGCAGTTTCTGGGAGAGCCGTGAACAAAAGACACAGTCCTTGCAGTAGCTCCCTTTCTGCACATGCTCTGACTGCTCAAAGTTCAGCCAGATGTTTACTGTCTGGGACCCCTCACCAACTTAGAGCTACATGCATGGATCAATGTGAAAGCCTGGGCCACTGAGTAAGGCCCCACAGTCAGTACGTGCTAGGCCAGCCAGCTTCCATGGCAGCTTAAGGACAGAGCCTGGGACTTGTCCATGCCTACCCGGACTGCGCTACACCTTTCCCAGACCCTGTTACCTATCCCTTCACTCGTGAGTTACCCCACAAAATAAACCTCCCTTTTAACTACGTGGAGTTCCCTTAATAATTTCACTAATAGTTACATACCCTTACCCAATCCTGTGATGCCAAGGCTTGTATCACCCTGCTTGCAGTTTTTCCCTTTAAAAACCCCTCACCCCGGGAGCTCAGGGCCACCCTCCTCCACCTGCTGTGTTGGAGTGTTGGACACAGACCAAGCCCGGGTTTGCTTGTAATCAATAAATCCCTGTGTGTTTTGCATTGGATATCAGCTCTGTGGTGGTCTTCTGGGGGGGGGTCTCACATCTTGGGCACAACACTGGGAACCTACCTCAGGTCCTCTGCAAGGGCAGTAAGTTCTCTTAACGACTGAGCCATCTACCTAGCCCCAGGGGCCTAACCTTCTGACTGGGTTAATACTGTTATTACTCGAATAGCATAGTTACCCCAGAAGTGTTCTCATCTTCCTATCTCTGATGCTCATTTTACCTTCTAATTTCTGCCATGGGATTATGAGGTTACAAGGAGCTCACCTGATGTGGTCCCTTCCAGAAGGGGGATGTGCAGCTCAGAGCAAGCTAAGGCAACACTTGGTACCAGGATGTCATAATAAATACCTGAAGATGTCAGAGGCTTTAGAATTGAGTAATAAACAGATGAAGGGAGGAGCCAAAGGAACACACTACAATAGCCCAGATTTCCATTAACAGAGCTTGCTGAGACCATCTGCAGCTCAGGCTGACCTGGAGCTCGCTGTGTAGCCCACACTGACTTTGACTTGAAGATGATCATCCTGCCTCAGACTCCTGAGTGCTTGGATTTGCCCTGACTCCCAGGTCCACAAACGGAAGTTTTTATCACGTCAATTTCACTAGCATCTACATAGTGGTGGTTTGGTAAGCATTCTCAACCATGTCTATTAAAATGTTCTGATGCCCACCCTCCCACATTACCCTCTTTCCCCTCCCACTCCTGCGGACCCCCTTCCTCTTCCCAACTGTTTTCTTCCTGTCTTTTTACCATTGTTGCTGTTGACTCAATGAGTTTAATTAAGGCTGTTTACATGATCCTAGGTCAAGAGTTATGTTGTGGGAAGGGTGGAGAATAAAGTCCACTGAGATAAGACACCGAAAGCAAGGTTCACACCAATGAACTTAAGACACGTGAATCTTTGAATCCCGCCAGCCCCCTTTCCCCAGCCATGGTTGCAAACATCTGTCTTAGTTTCTTCTTCTGTTAGCGCGTGTCCTAGTTTGGATTTCTATCGCTGTGAAGAGACACCATGACCATGGCAACTCTTATAAAGGAGAAGATTTCATTGGGGCTGGCTTACAGTTTAGAGGTTCAGTCCATTATTGGCTTGATGGATGGCATGGCAGCTTGAGGGCAGGCATGGTGCTGGAGAATGAGTTGAGAGTTCCACATCTTGATCCACAGGCAGCAGAAGCAACTGTGTGTCACCCTGAACAGAGCCTGATCAAAGGAGACCTCAAAGCCCACTCCCACAGTGACACACTTCCTCCAACAAAGCCACACCTCCGAACAGTGCCACTCCCTATGGGGGCCATTTTCTTTCAAACCACCACAGTGTGAGAGAATACTCAGACAAAAAACACGTAAAGGAGAAAGAGTTCGTTCTGGTCCACAGTTCAAGGAGGGGATCCGCAGAGGCAGGGACATGGAGGCAGTAGAAGCTTGGAGCAGCTTGTCACATCATAGCCACAACAGCAGAGGAGGCAGGTTGCTATTCTTCTCTCTTTCTCCACCTTGTACAGTCCAGGAGACCAAAGAATGTCACTAACTACAGCAGATGGGTCCTCCCCCTTCAATTAACACAACCACGGGAATCCTCCACAGGCATGCCCAGAGGCCCATCTCCCAAGTGATTATAGACCACACCAACCATTCACAACTTCTTAGAACCCACCTAAGACCTCTCCCCCAAACATTATGGACCCCCCACATGAACAGCAGAATCTCACAGATGCTTACACATAAGTCAGCTGTATTAGGTACAAGTGGGCCCCCTCTGTGGGATACTTTCATTTACAAAAAGCCAGAGTTGTGTGGCCCAGCAGACAGTGCAGCAGGAACAATGACTGTCTTTATCTACACAGTCCTCAGGAAAAAAGGCTCTCTCTTTTCTTGAGTGTTGCTACATACTTTAGCAATGTACACAAGTAGACTCCAGGGAATAAATGCTAAAATATCAATGACACTCAAGAAAGGAGAGAGCTCTGGTTTGTTGAAGGCTGTTCCCACAAATCATCTCTTTTATCTTAAATGCCCCAAAAAGGCTCTCATGGTAAAGGCTTGGTCCCCTGTGCAGAAGCATTCCCTTGGGAAGTGATGGGATCATTAGGGCTCTGACTCCATGGATTGAATGGCTGATGAATTTATAGCTTAATGAGGTTAGAAGTGGAGCCTCATTTTAAAAGTGAGCTCTCATCCCTGTTGTAGTTATTTGTTTGCTCTGTGGGGTTTCTGTTTGTTTTTAAGATACTGTCTTTGTATGGATCCCAAGTTAGCCTTGAACTTGCTATTTACCCTAGGATAGCTTCAAACCCAGGATACTCTGCTGTGGGATGGTCTGTATGTCAAATCTGTTGCTTTGATTGGCCAGTGGCTAGGCAGGAAGTATAAGTGGGACTAACAGAGAGGAGAAAAGAAAGAACAGGCAGGCAGAAGGAGTCACTGCCAGCCACCGCCAGGACAAGCAGCATGTGAAGATGCCGGTAAGCCACAAGCCATGTGGCAAGGTATAGATTTATGGAAATGGATTAATTTAAGCTATAAGAACAGTTAGCAAGAAGCCTGCCACGGCCATACAGTTTGTAAGCAATATAAGTCTCTGTGTTTACTTGGTTGGGTCTAAGCAGCTGTGGGACTGGCAGGTGACAAAGATTTGTCCTGACTGTGGGCAAAGCAGGAATACTCTAGCTACAATACTCCTATCTCCATCTTGAGTACTAATTGCAGATGTGCAACACCCACACCTATCAACCTATCATTCTCTCTCTCTCTCTCTCTCTCTCTCTCTCTCTCTCTCTCTCTCTGTGTGTGTGTGTGTGTGTGTGTGTGTGTGTGTGTGTGTGTGTGTGTTTTAGTTTGGGTCACTATTGTTATGATGAAACACCATAACCAAAGCAAGTTGGCCAGGAAAGGATGAATTCAGCTTATACATCCACATCACTGTTCCTCACCAAAGGAAGTCAGGGCAGGAACCTGGAGGCAGGAGCTGATGCAGAGGTCATGGAGGAGTGCCACTCACTGGCTTGTTCCCCATGGCTTGCTCAGCCTCCTTTCTTATAGAACCCAGGACCACTAGCCCAGGGAAACTGGAAGCTTTCGAGCGAGCTAGTCTGGCTTATAAAGTGAACAAAAGACTCTCTCAGAGGAGGAATGTGAGGTCTGACACCTCAGTTGTCTGCTCACCTCCTCCGCACATGCGCTGTGGCATGTTAGAATGTGCTCACCCCAACTCAAACACACATATAACTGCAAAGGGGGAGAAGGAGCGGGGATGGGAGCAGATGGGGGAGAGATTTTAAAGAACCAATTAAGATTCTAACTATAGTTCTGGGGATATAGCTCAGTGGTATAGTACTTGCCTAGCATGTATGAGGCCTTTTGTTCAGTCTTCAGCAACTCCCCCACCCCCACGTATAACCCAAATATTTCATTTCCTTAGAGGACCCAGTGTAAACACAAGGTTATCTTTTCATTCACAAGATACAGAAACCCAGGGCTAGCAAGATGGTTTCTGGGGGAGGGGAGGTAAAGGCACTTGC